GTGGGGGCCATACCATCACTTCCTTGTTCTTCTTGGGCTGAAGATAGTTCTTAATGACTTCCACTGTATGTTTGGGGTTGTTGTCAAGCTTCAGAATCCATTTGGGGTCAATCAGACGCCTCCCTGGTACTGCATGATGAATAAGTGTCTGCCTGTGCTTCTCAGCATTGAGTAGACCATTCATTCTTACCATGTCCCTAATGCCGTGTGCAGAAATCCAGCGCAATGCAAGGAACCTAAACCATGCTTCTCTGTTGCCTGCAGAAACTCATTCTTGTACTGCTCTCTAGCCCTTATGCAAAAGTTTGCTCCAGCCAAATATTTGAAATTTTGACTCATCAGTCCAGAGCACCTGCTGTAATTTTTCTATGCATAGTTGAGGTATGGCTTTTGGCCACAAGTCTTCCATGAAGGCCACTTCTGATCAGACTCCTCCGGACAGCAGATAGTTGTACCAGGGTCCAACTTTTTTCTGCCAGTGCTGAGCTGACTGCTGGACATCTTCCAAATAAGTAGTAGCCAGTGCAGACGGATCAGATGTAGCCGGAAAACCAGGGAGGCTGGGTGACTAAGAGGTTCTCCCCACTCTGTGACACACCCACTGCCAATTCTGATCATTGGCAGCTCCATTTTGAGAAAAGTGAAGTTAGCGACACCAGCACCTATATTAAAATGCATTCCTGGGGCCAAGGCAAGTGACTCGTGACTTGAGACTCGAGATGTTGGACTCGTGAACAATGTTTATTTTTAGGAAACGTCTGATGAGCGTGCTGTTATTCCCCTCCATGCTTTACCTATAACCTGCCTATGTAACACATACTACATATCTGCTGCGTGCGGTGAGAGAGGACAACAAACAGCGGCAGCTGCTGTGCCATTCATCATAAGCTTTGGCTTTAAAACTTCATACAACAACCTGAGGTTAGTAAACATGTTTTGATCAGCCATCTAATATTAGCTTGTTTCTTGCTTTAGCCACAACCTACCGGAGGTTATCTCCGACTGTCATTCTGAAAAGATGAATGAGCGTTTGTTTGATTGTGGTGGTGAATTAACGTAATCATTTACGTCCCGCTGGCTGCCATCAGGTTAGTTATTATTGTTGGCTGCAAACAGGTTACAGGTTTATATAGTTTTTATAGTTTTATTTAGTTAACGTTACACTGGGTTTGAGAGTCTGTGTTGATTTACAGTAGTTTATAAGCTGTCATTAGTTGTAGACGCATTGCACTTTAGCCTATATGGTTGTGCTCTGTAAGTGAAAAACAGGTTACAGTTACAGAATTCCTTATATATATGCAGTGTTCTAAGCTGCTTAGATGGAACACGGCAGGTAATGCAACACTATAACCACTAGAGACTTGAGACTTGAGACTTGACTCTAGCTCAGAGACTTGTGAGTATCTCTGTTATAGACTCCTGCAAACACCTTAGACACAAACAAAATGGCACATATCCACCAGCAGGTGGCCCTATACTACACAATACATGTCTATAAATTCCTTCCACAAAATCGTAAAACACGAAACCTACTTTTTTGCACTCCTCCTAGGCAGTGAGTCTGATCTGCACGGAACTTTTCATGTTGAATCTATGGAAACTCAAAATCAAAAGTTATTAAAAGAATTTATCCAAAAGTTGCACAAGTTATAAAGGAACAACTTTCTGTATATTTCAGACAAACAGGAAGTGATGTCATATCTACATATAGGTCTTATTACTATATCACTGTTAATTTGGTTCACACATGGTAACAAATTACACATGTACACCAGCAGGTGGATCTATAATCAAGTGTGTTTGGGCCAGTAACTCCCACATAGTGCATCTCACATTCAATCACCTTACATGCCCGCATTCCCTGGATTGAGCTGCATCTCTAGCCTTTCTTTCTACAATTTTTCTTAGCAAAATTGTGAAAATTGACCAGCTTTAACTTTATGAACCTGCCTAATATTGTGTAGGTCCACCTTTTGCTGCCAAAACAGCCCTGACCTGTCAAGGCATGGACTCCACTAGACCTCTGAAAGTGTGTTGTGGTGTCTGGCACCAAGATGTTGGCAGCTGTAGGTTGGTAGATCCTTGAAGTCCTGTAAGTTGCGAGGTGGGGCCTCCATGGTTCCATGGATCCATGGTTTGTTCAGCACATCCCACAGATGCTTGACTGGATTGAGATCTTTGGAGGCCAAGTCAACACCTTGAACTTGTTGTTGTGTTCCTCAAACCATTCCTGAACAATTTTCGTATACTGTTTCCATGAAACGGTGTCCATGGTCTGCAACAATGCTTAGATAAGTTGGTAAACCCATATGGATGGTAGAACCCAAGGTAGGCAGAACATTGCCCAAAACATCACATTGCCTCCACTGACTTGCCTTCTTCCCATTGTATGAGAACCAGCATTACCTTTTTCAGCAACTTGACCTTCAGTAGCTCATCTGTTGGAATCGGATTGCTAATCAGACTGTAAGCCGTGACCAGAAGAGGAAGTCTGGGCCTAGATGTCTGTTGTCTGGGAGGAATCGGAATCCCTGAAACACTGGTTGTTAACAATGGGTTCTGTAACAGGACATATAATCAGGGAGCTGATAACATAGAAGCTAAATTCCATATCATCCTGTTTGGTTCTGTCAAAGTTTTTGATGTTACATTTTTGTCTTTGTTTTTCTCTGTCTCTGTTGTTGTCTTTGTATTTGCTGTTGTTTTTGTCTTTGTATCTGTTGTCTTTCATCTGTGGCATTGTTCTCGCTGCTGCTGTTGTCATTGTATTGATTTTGTACAGAATAAAGATCCCAGAAACTGTCTGACTGTCGATGCTTTGTAGCTCAGTTGTGAACTGTGTTGAGTTTCTAAGTACCACCAGTGTGCTGGAGGGAAAATTTGGGGGATTTAGGGTCACTGCTGAGCACTTTAACCAAATGAGCTTTACTCTCTGAGAGCTTTAGTGTGTGAACAGGCTCCATAATGAGCTGCTGGGAGCTTCAGTCCCGAAAATCACAAAGCAAACAGAGCCATCATGGAGGGGAGTCTGCCTGTTAAACTCAGCACTAATACAAATTCTAGAAGATTATGTGGAAGAAGCAGCCGCTCATGTCTCAGTTGTTCTCTGAGTCTGAATACAGACAGCTCAGCCGGACAGAAGACTCACCGCTGCCCTCTGCTGACTCACTCTGTTGTTGCCACTGGTCCTCATGATGAGCAACTATGGGAGTAAATTCACTGTTGTCTTTCTATACTTCCAGACATAACTTTCAGGATGTAACTTGGAAGGAGTGAGGGAGGTTCATACTCAAGTCCTAGTGTGTTCACAAACACTGAAACAAGCTACTGAAAAACTCAAATTGTTTTTATGTAAATACATTTTTATCACTTTCTGTGCAATGGGAGAATTAGCAAAACATTAGTAAAGCAGGTAAATGCATCTCTCACTGAGCTATGACTGTGGGCCACAATGGAGAAGAGGATGTAGGAACAGAAAATAGCCTATTCTTTGTTGTTATGACCCCCACTAACCCCCAAATCCTTGAAGCTGGCTGGCAGATATGATCTCAGTCAACAACAGAAAATAGTCCAAGGGCTAATTAGTTTGCAGTGGTATTTTTCATATACTGTATGTTCATATAGTGAGTTTGGTCATTTATAAGATGTTTATTAAAGTTAGTAGCCTGGTATTTTGTGCTTCAAAAATTAAAGATAAGCACGCAACGAAACGTAAAGAGTAGTCGCTCAAGGTAGGTGTAATTGACTTTCTCCTGATGCTGGTGCTACTTCTACAGTTATATCAGTCGTACATGAGGTAGCTAACAGTTACAGAGGTATCAATGAGACATTAATATGATGGCTTACTGTTTTTTTGTTTGATTAGCTCAGAGCCTAACCCAAGTCAGATCTTTTTCTGGGTTAATGAAATAAAATCTACTAAAATGACAAATGTTTTTCAAGCTGCTGTAGCTACTGTCTAGTTGAAATTATTCTGTTACTGTGACTGCTGCCTATCTGCCTAATGGTAAATTTGGCCCCTGACTAGTACTGCTAGGACTAGTAGACTTATAAAGGTATGTTAACTAAGGTTGAGGATAATCCTGCTGTTGACAGAAAGAGCCAGGGCCAAGAAGTCAATGCCCCTTTAAATAATGGAAGGGAAAATGGGTTTTTTATCTACAATCCACATTTGACCACTTGGACTGCTTCTTCTTTTCCAATGTATTTATTTTTCTCTTTCAGGTGAGGTGATTACTTTACTCGAAGTGTTTCTAGTTTTGAAATTCTATTTTAATGACTCATTTTGTGATGTACTGTACTTGCATATAATTCTCAAGAATGCAGTAATGAAGGTCTCTAAAGACGCAGAGAATGTGCTGACCAGTGGCAAATTCCCGGGCCATTTTCGTGCCTCAGTCCGCCCCTGGCACTGGGTGTGAAGAACTGGAGGTGAATGGACCTCTTCTCCCTCCCTCCCTGTCTCTTTCTACTATTACTATCAAATCAAACAATGCAATGCTTTAAAATAAAAATAATCTTAAAATAAACATAGTCTGCATATGCACACATTAACATTTCTATATACATAAAACCACGTACGGAAGCATGACAACACACAAAAAAACACAACTAACAAACAAGGATTACTTTTTTCATTCACCACACACGTGCATAACTCAGAGGTAACATACTCAGAGTTGATTGAACCAAATCTAATCAGCCAACTCAGAGTTCATTGTTCGCTTCAGAGTTTTTTTTAACTTGTTTTCTGGAACATGCCCTGGGCCTCGCTGCCAGCAGGACAAAAACGTCATCACCACCGTCCCCAGTGTCATCACCATTATTTCTAACCACAGAACACGCCGCTCTGTGTGTTTTCAGCAGCAGCAGCTGTGACTCAGGTTGTTCTCTGCCTCCGTGTCGAGGTCAGTGTTTATATTTAGCATGTCATGTCCAGTCCCATGTATTCACCAAGTTCTTTAAAACCTGCAGGTTTCTCACAATGACATTCCCTGCCAGTGACACCGCACACAATGTTGTTTCCTCAGCAGCATGACGGACACAGAAAGCATCAGCTGATTCACTGAGGATTCTCTACGGAAACTCCAGGTTTTTCATTATCAGGAAATAGAATCATGTGAAAAATCCAACAACTAAAGTGTTGATTTCGTGTCTATAATTTAGTCATCTATTCAGTTAGATATGTGACTTTTATCTAATTGACTGGATCTTAAACACTGCACTGACGAATAGCAGAGTTAATGTGTGTCAGTAACAATTCTATTCAATTCGGTATCAAAACACTTAAAGGGTATTTACTGATAAAGAAAAATCACAATTTCTAAAAATGAACACTGCATTGCCAAACGTATGCGGACACCTGAACATATGTTATAACTGAACATATCATTCCAGGACCATGGCCATTAATCTGCTGCTAACCGCCTCCATTCTTCTGATTACAGGGTTTCCACCAGATGTTGAAACCTGGCTGCAGGGATTAACTCACATTCAGACAGCTTCCAACGTCTAGTGGAAAGCCTGAAAGCTTTAGCGTAACACCGATGTTGGGTGACAAGGCCTGGCTCACAGTCAGCGTTCCGGGTCATCCCAAAGGTATTGGATAGGGTTGCAGTCAGGGCTCTGTGCAGGCCACAATTCTTTAATGAGCTGTCATGCTTTCATGTTGAAACAGGAAAGGGTCTTGATCACACTATTGTCATATTGTCACTAAGTATCATTGTATGCTGTAGCAAGCAAGAAAAACTGTCTCAGACCAGTACCAGTACTGTAAAGTATGCAGAAAGGGCTGGCCACATGCTTTTGGCCATGTAACAATATTAAGAGGAATATTTCTCATGTCTCCTGTTGCAGGGCGGATGTTTCACTGCATGTTGCTGCATCCTGGTGGTCAAAAGAAGAACTGCAGCATCTGTTTTTCTAACTACACACACTCAGTTTAGCAAAATTTGCATCAGAGCCCATTTTTAGTTCATCACATTCATGCAACCCCCCTTGCAGTGGCACTGTGCCTCCCCCCCAGTTAGAGAACCACTGCTGTGGAGCAAGGGCAGATATTTCATGTCACTGTTGGTGGGAACAAGAAAAACATCTCCCAACTGGATCAAACCACTGTGAGGCATAGGAGAGGGAGGACATAACTTTTTTTAAATGTGTTGGACCGTTTGTGTACCAAATACATTGACTAGACGTGGACAACAGTGGTTCTATGTAATAGTTTGGATCAAAATTGTTGCTAGGGACAATTCTACTTAATTCTACACCCTATGTTGTGACAAAGACCACATAGGGAAGAGGCCAGGGTGGATGGACAAATGAACAACAAATGAATTCATTTTTATGTATTTTCCTAAATCATGTTTTTTTTGTGTACTCAAAGGAATATAAATGAAATTGATGTTAGTTTGTTCATTTAAAGAATGGCATTTTAACTGTTACAAATGGTGTTTTATTCTTACAACATGAAATCACAGTGGATTTAATTAGGCTTTTTTTTTTTATCTAGATCAACAGAAAAATCCAGTTTTACTTGATATTAAACTGTGCAGCCACTTGCTATTAAAAGTCACATAAATGGTTAAATGGGGACCACCTGAATGTCCACAAGGGTTTTCAACTTATTATAGAATAAATACACCATTATCTGGAAGGTCCAAGTGTTTTGGCAAAATCTACACCGTGAAACCTCAAGAACAGGAAATAGGGATTTCAAAGCCCAAGTCAGGGATGGATATATATTTCCAAGTTCCTATATCTCCCCTGGAGTACAGTGAAATCAAGAAATGGAAAATGTTTGGTACAATCTGCCTAGAGCATCCCCGCCACAGAAAGTGAGTCACAGTGCAAGAGCTAGTGAGAAGGCTTCAAGACCAATTACTACTGTGAGGGAGTTACAAGCTTCCACAGATGTATGGGAGAGAGGCAAGGAGAACAGCTTTTACTCTTGAAACAGCTATGAGAGTGGTGAGAGTGAACCAGAACAGTAAAGTTGTGTATCGGACAGATAAACAGTGAGCTTTTGAGTTCATGGACACAGTCAAGATGTCGGTCTTGGTTTAGGTTTTTAATAACTTTATAACTATGGACTTGTAGCTGTTTTTGGCAGAGTCGCTGTTTGGAGGAAGCTTGGATCCAGCAGATTTTGTTTGTGTATTTGGAGGAACATTGTGTGCTGCAGGGGTGTGACGGTCTGTTCCTTATAAGAACTGCCCACACACCAAAAAATCTGCTTGATGCAATCCAAAACTGGAAACACATCCTAGCAGCCAGCCAAGCTGTCACAAACAGTGACATTTTCAAACAAGCCTTTCAAATGTATTAAAGTGCATTACAAATGAAATGTGTTATTATTATTATTATTATTAGGTCTGAAGCAGGTACTGATTTACCTCTGAGACAGTCTACAGTGGATTTATTACATATCAGTCACACCAACTCAAAGAGTCACTGTCGGGAAGCTAGTCAGGTGTTGGATTGATGTTGCTTGTATTAATTAAAATTAATATTAGAATTAAAATTAAAATTAATTTCAATTCAATGGGGATTCATTGGCAGGGGAAACTAATGAATTGTGCTATTAAATATACAGTATATACATACTCACTTCCTTGTTTACAAGTCAAAGCAGACTTGTGTGATGCCAACATCTCACATTTGCCTACAAAAATAACAGCACAAGGATCCAGATCTTCTTTACCAAAGCGGGGGTAGACTGTTTTGCAAAACGTGCAGTATCATGGTCGAACATAAAGGAAATCTAGTGACAAACACTTTGCCGCCGCAAAACATACGTGGAGAATGGCAGTAATGTATGGAGGGCATAAGACAAGACACAAGCAAGCTCTGAAAGAATCCAGGTAAGCTGGTATAAATATGCTGGGTTAGGGTTAGGCCCACGAAATCCTGGAGGGACTGTTTAATGATTCAACTAGAATTCTAAAGTTAAACTTTTTCACTTAAAAACGAACATTGCAACTTTCATTGCAATTTTTTAGAAAAGCTGCTGCAAAATCAGGCATTTTAGCCCAGGAAGTCCTGGAGGGACTGGTTACTACTCTCGGGCAGGTTGGTGTAGGCATGCATCATAAGCATGTGTCGACAGTGTTTGTGAAGTTACTCTCAATGCCTCAAGGGGGTAAAGTTTCACACTGCAGCTTTAAGTAACTGCTGAAAAGATGAAATGTCCATGTTGTGTACGACTGTGATCTGCTACTGGTGATACTAGTGAACTAGTGATGGACGGACAAAGCGTTGTGAAGCTTTTGAGGCTTCTTCCTGAATGGGCTGAAATCTTTTTTTTTAGTTTTGAAGCATGGAAGACATGTAACAGTGACATCAAGTGGTCTGCAGAAATTATAGCGGCCCTGAACCTGTAACTGTGGAGAAACAATGGGCCTTTTGCTGCGTTCCATTTACCTCGGAAGTCGGAGGTCGGAGCTGGGAATGACGTCACACCCGAGTTGACGGCGTTCCCGTTAACAAGTCGGAAAAACTCGCTCGGCCAGCTGTTTACAACTAGCCAGGTTAGCTATTGATACGCCGGTTGATAAAAAAACGCATTGTGCGGTATTTACTCACACTCAACACTGTAGCAACACGTCCACAGACAGCTGCTGGACAGCACTTTGTGTACGAACATTTATATGAGTCACAAGTACACAGATGTGCTAATAAACAGTATAAACTACAGCTTTCACTACTTGTTGATACCTCGACAGCCATCTTGGATCACGAAGTCGGGGTAGTGCGGGTCTCCTGACTTCCCAAGTCGGGATTCTGACTTAAGGGGGCGTTCCCTTTGAAATTTTGACCATTGAACTAAAAAATTCCGACTTCCCATGTCAACTGGAACGCACCATTTCTCATTTCCCAAATTTCTGTCTCCTCGACTCCTCGATCCTCGAGCATGTGACCCGGAAATCGATCTCAGCACGCCATCTTGAAGGACATCTCTATTCTTAAAATGCACATCGAGGATCAAGGATTGAGGAGGTTTGCTGGAGGAGCTATAAGCAAGGATACATCGGTGTATCCTTTGTGGAAGTCTTTTCAGCCGCTCCGATGTTTACAAGAGGCGTGACAAGCAGCTGGGTCAATCCATAGCCAGAGCAGGATGCTGCAGTGTTCATGTTGTATTCATAAGTTTTATCAGTCAAGCCTATTAAAAATAATCAAATGCGCGATCAAACTTTCTGCCCTACATCGTTTGTGTAGCGCCTCATAAAGCGCTGTTCTAACCGCATTCCTTAATGTCATTTCACTTTGATATCACTGATGTTGTTGTTGTTGAATGTGATGTGTTGATGGGCAGCAGGATTGTAAAAATGAACATTAAATGGCGGCTGTGTCCCCAGTGACACTGTGTGCATTTACGCACGAGCCACAGCAACATAAATTAATAATAAAAAAATCTCCCGACATGCCGACAGGATCGGACAGGATCTGGTGTTAATTCATGTTCCAGTTTCATATAAAAGTAAAAGTGTTTGGAGTAAAACAACCATCCTGATCAGTCCTGAGCTCCATCAGAGTCTAAACATGGATTATAGAAACTGAAAGTTTAATTCTGTTTCCTCTCTCTGTCCTGTCAAGTTTATTACAGCAGGTTTTTTCTGTTTTGACCCACAATATTTGAATGACTGACAGCAGCCTCTCTAATCATCAAAGTTAATCGTTAAAGAAAACACTCATACATCAATATAACACACAAGAAAGAAATCACCTGGAAAGCTACAGGGACCGGTGGAGGTGGGGGTAAAACGTCCATGCAGATGCTGGTCTCTAAATCTGATAAAATAATTAGTTGGTGGGGGGCAGGTGGATGATTTATGCGTATAGGCCTATATAAGTTCCGTTAATGTCCGAGCCGATCCGCGCGTCACACCAATTCAGCTGCAATAATCGTGACAAAACAGCTGCTGAAGTCTAATTATTAGGCTGTATCAAGCAGAGCATTCAGCACGGATCTGTTTCATGTTTTAATAGCCTAATAGTGCCCATGTAGTCTGCACGTTATTCCCACAGAGTCCTGTGATGACAGCTGTAATTGGGGCTATATGAGATAAATGTTAGGCTACTGTGTCATTTTGTAAAGGGACTGATGATGAAACGCTCATCTCATCAAGCTGAGGGCTGTAATGATCTCCTGTTTACAGACAAAAGGAGCACCGCAAAAAAAGTGGTAGGCCTAGTCTGCAGTGTAGCCTAGTGAATGATCAGGCTGCTGTAATATGACTGTTTTCAACAGATGCTATAATTTTTATTGGAACCTCCAGATGTTTCTACGTGTTATAATGTTAACAGACATGTTTCTGGATTGTGAAGAAATGATCTGTAGCCTTTAGTGCCAAAAGCTGCTCTGCTGCTCTGACAGAGATCACAGCTCTAACAGTGGACAGATGATGCAGCTGTGCAACACGTCATATTTAACTGACGTCGCTTTAAAATGACGGCTCCCAGGAGGACATCTCATTTCGTTAAATGCCCATTTCCTCGACTCCTCTCTCCTTGCGTCTCGAGCTCGCATCTCGGGTGGGCGGGACTAAAATGTGCCTCGAGGAGTCGAAGAGGTGGAAATTTGGGAAATGAGAAAGGCCCAATGCATCAAACGGCTAATTTATTTCAGTTTCAATGGTTTTTTACAGGTCTAAATGCTGGGTTCAAGATGGCCGACTGTGATGGCCATGTCCTAAATGCCTATGCCTCCTTGAATATGATAAACTCATATTCAAGGAGGTCAGTCAAGATAACAAAAAATAGTAGTATGTACAGCAAAGTATTGTTAACAGGTTTATGTTTTATAAAGTAAAATGTCGTTTTTATGCAGCAAAAACCAACTGTCCACACACGTGGACGTCATGCAACCGTGGAGTCAGATTGCATCAAGTTTGATTTCTGTAACCTGCTAATTTATTTTTATTTAATTCTATTCAATTAAATTTTATTTATATAGAGCCAAATCACAACAACAGTTATCTCACAGGGCTTTTCATAAAAGAGCAGGTCTAGACCGTACTCTGTGATGCTATTTACAGAAGCCCAACAGTTCCCAAGCACTAGGCAAGGAAAAACTTCCTTTTAAGAGGCAGAAACCTCGAGCAGAACCATGGCTCAGGGTGGGCGGCCATCTGCCTCGACCGGTTGGGGTGAAGGAGAGAGAGAGAGAGAGAGAGAGAGAGAGAGAGAGAGAGAGAGGGAGGCAGCCTACACAATATACACACACAGAGGTACAGACAGTAAAGGTGATGTTGCTATAGCCTGAATGAAAAATGGTACAGATATATACAGTAATGTTAATGATTATAATAACAATAATAACAATAGGACTAGTAACAATAATTGTTGTAGCAGAGGGTGTCGAGCAGGAACACGGGGGCAGCAGGTGACCCGCAGCCACAGATCCAGACTCACCAGCTCCAGAGCCAGAAAACCTGCAGGAAGTGATAGGAGGAGAGAGGAGAGGGACGAGAAAGCACAAGACTACCAGAAAGGGGAGAAGTTGTGTTAGTAACATGCATTAATGGGATGAGGTTGCATACAGAGGGAGAGAAAGTAGAGGAGAGAGGAGCTCAGTGCATCATAGGAAATCCCCCGGCAGTCTAGGCCTATAGCAGCATAACTAAGGGACGGTTCAGGACTCGCCTGAGCCAGCCCTAACTATAAGCTTTATCAAAGAGGAAAGTCTTAAGCCTACTCTTAAATGTGGAGATGGTGTCTGCCTCCTGAACCCAAACTGGAACCTGGTTCCACAGGAGAGGAGCTTGATAGCTGAACGCTCTGGCTCCCATTCTACTTTTGGAGACTCTAGGAACCACAAGTAACCCTGTATTCTGGGAGCGCAGTGCTCTGGTGGGGTAGTAAGGTACTATGAGCTCTTTAAGATAAGATGGTGCCTGACCATTAAGAGCTTCGTAGGTAAGAAGAATGATTTTAAATTCTATTCTGGATTTTACTGGAAGCAAATGCAAAGAAGCTAAGACAGGAGAAATATGATCTCTTTTCCTGGTTCCTGTCAGAACACGTGCTGCAGCATTCTGGATCAGCTGAAGAGTCTTAATGGACTTTTTCGAGCAGCCTGATCATAAGGAATTGCAGTAATCCAGCCTAGAAGTAACAAATACATGGACTAGTTTTTCTGCATCA